TGGGCGTCCGCAGTAGAAACAGATTGGCCTTCCCTCAGTTGTCCGCCATTCATTGGTGTCGCGTCTTCTTCCTTGTTTCTGATATTGAGATGTAGGATGGGGATTTCTAGGTTGAGCCTCAAATTTAGGATTTGATACCGGCCTGGGTGCTTGAGGGGGACTTATTGTAGGTTCTGATATAGGCGCCAAGGTCTTTACGATCTCTTCCCTTACTAAATCTTCATTGGCAGCGATTTTAGGCTCCTCTTGAGGAGAGTCCAATGCTTGCTGTATCTCTTCGCGGACAATTTTTCGGATCAGCGATGACAGATCTTCTCCGTCATCCTGGTCACAGAGAGAGGCTACATTTGGTAGGCGCTCGTACCTGGTTGGGGTAACTCGCCTACAACGGAGCGCTTCGACACGGCGACATTCTGTAATGAATTGCTCGGTGCTCTGTACATCCCTCGGTAGGAGTGCTTGATAAAGCTCTTCAGCTATCCCCTTCATGAGGTGGGAGATTTTATCTTCTACGTTCATTTGAGGATCAACCTCTTTGCACAAGCACAGGACATCCTGGATGTAAAATTCGGTACTTTCACCTTTTAATTGTGCCCGTGTTTTAAGTTTCTTCTCCGCTTGCAATTTTGAATTTTCTTTTTTTCCGAACACATTCTCTAATTGAGATGTGAAATCCTTCCAAGTCTGGATGCTTTCTTCGTTGTTCTCAAACCATTTAAGAGCAGTTCCAGACAGATAAAAATAAACTTTAGTAAGACAAAGGGTTTCGTCCCAATGGTTGTACCTTGCCACACGTGCATACCCTTTTAACCATTTTTGGAGATCTTCACCATCCTCCCCGGAGAAAATGGAAGGGTTCCTTGGCAGATGTTGAACAACGTAGTTGCTTACCTGGGTACCTGCTTCCATCTTTACATTCATAGAAGTTTCTTCTGATTCAACAGAATCAAATTTTCTTTTATTTCTTAATGGGTATCGGTCCAGCTTCTCCACCAGTTGTAGCGTAGAAATCAAGCCTTGAAATATCCTAAGAGGTAAAAGTATTTATTGATGACGTCACAGCGACGAGTCGACAATTATTAACAGGTCAGCCCCCACTATTTACAGCTAGAGAATCTTAAGCAAGCAAGCAAAGAAATATTTTAAAGATGATTTCACAAATACAGATTAATATATATTTTTATAATCTGTAGAATATATTTTCATTGAATAATATTAAATTAAATAATAAAATATTTGTCACAATATATATGTATAGTAGTGGGCTATATGGTTTTAAATTGTAAGTATAGTTGAGGATATAAACACAGTAAAAACAGTATCAACCGAAAAATAGACATTCCTCAACTATACTTACAATTTAAAACCATATAGCCCACTACTATACATATATATATATATATATATAACAATTACTGATTTTCAATTATTTTATTTTAAATGTATATATTTATTTATTCTCTATATATTAATATTTTATATATCATTTTATTATTATTAATTATATTTATAAACATGTATATTGTAGATTTCAGATATTTAAAAATTTTATAGCAGTTGTACATACTCGTGAATTGATACGCGAGCTTATCAAACCAATCTTGTTCCCCGAAGAAGTTTGGCGAGTTGCCTCACGAAATATCGGAAATAAAAACTTTATGATCCAAAATAGGCATTTTTAAATATATATATATATACATATATATCCCAGTATAGTATCTATTACTTTAGCTGTAAACAGTCTGATGCCTGCCCGCGAGAACACATGCCAATAACAAAAGTTTTCAATTATTTTGGATAAATATTATTAAGAGATTGTACATAGAGAGAGTATCAGCCCGTTGAAGAGCAGTATATTTGCTCAAAAGCTTGCAAATTCAAAATAAAAATAAACTTTTCACTTGATTTTTATTTTACTTTTTCAAATAGGTAAATATATTATCCAATTTGATCTGTTAGTGACCATCACTCACATCTAGTGACCTTCTGGTAGCTTTCCTGACCCTTTCTAGCCAATTCATTACAGGTCTTCTTCTCTTCCTTGGTGACTATATGGACAAATATTCTCCAATTTGATCAGTTGGTGTGATCAACACTTGTAGCACATCTAGTGACCTTCTGGTAGCTTTCTTGACCCCTTCTAGCCAATTCATTACAGGTCTTCTTCTCTTCCTTGGTGACTATATGGACAAATGTTCTCCAATTTGATCTGTCAGTGACCATCACTCACATCTAGTGACCTTCTGGTAGCTTTCTTGTCCCCTTCTAGCCAATTCATTACAGGTCTTCTTCTCTTCCTTGGTGACTATATGGACAAATATTCTCCAATTTGATCTGTCAGTGACCATCACTCACATCTAGTGACCTTCTGGTAGCTTTCTTGTCCCCTTCTAGCCAATTCATTACAGGTCTTCTTCTCTTCCTTGGTGACTATATGGACAAATATTCTCCAATTTGATCTGTTAGTGACCATCACTCACATCTAGTGACCTTCTGGTAGCTTTCCTGACCCTTTCTAGCCAATTCATTACAGGTCTTCTTCTCTTCCTTGGTGACTATATGGACAAATATTCTCCAATTTGATCTGTCAGTGACCATCACTCACATCTAGTGACCTTCTGGTAGCTTTCCTGACCCTTTCTAGCCAATTCATTACAGGTCTTCTTCTCTTCCTTGGTGACTATATGGACAAATATTCTCCAATTTGATCTGTCAGTGACCATCACTCACATCTAGTGACCTTCTGGTAGCTTTCTTGACCCCTTCTAGCCAATTCATTACAGGTCTTCTTCTCTTCCTTGGTGACTATATGGACAAATATTCTCCAATTTGATCTGTCAGTGACCATCACTCACATCTAGTGACCTTCTGGTAGCTTTCTTGTCCCCTTCTAGCCAATTCATTACAGGTCTTCTTCTCTTCCTTGGTGACTATATGGACAAATATTCTCCAATTTGATCTGTTAGTGACCATCACTCAAATCTAGTGACCTTCTGGTAGCTTTCCTGACCAATTCCAGCCAGCTCGTTGCAGGTCTTCCTCTTTTCCTTGGTGACTATATGGCCAAATATTCTCCAATTTGATCTGTTAGTGACCATCACTCACATCTAGTGACCTTCTGGTAGCTTTCCTGACCAATTCCAGCCAGCTCGTTGCAGGTCTTCCTCTTTTCCTTGGTGACTATATGGCCAAATATTCTCCAATTTGATCTGTTAGTGACCATCACTCACATCTAGTGACCTTCTGGTAGCTTTCCTGACCAATTCCAGCCAGCTCGTTGCAGGTCGTCCTCTTTTCCTTGGTGACTATATGGACAAATATTCTCCAATTTGATCTGTTAGTGACCATCACTCACATCTAGTGACCTTCTGGTAGCTTTCCTGACCAATTCCAGCCAGCTCGTTGCAGGTCGTCCTCTTTTCCTTGGTGACTATATGGACAAATATTCTCCAATTTGATCTGTTAGTGACCATCACTCACATCTAGTGACCTTCTGGTAGCTTTCCTGACCAATTCCAGCCAGCTCGTTGCAGGTCGTCCTCTTTTCCTTGGTGACTATATGGACAAATATTCTCCAATTTGATCTGTTAGTGACCATCACTCACATCTAGTGACCTTCTGGTAGCTTTCCTGACCAATTCCAGCCAGCTCGTTGCAGGTCTTCCTCTCTTCCTTGGTGACTATATGGACAAATATTCTCCAATTTGATCTGTTAGTGACCATCACTCACATCTAGTGACCTTCTGGTAGCTTTCCTGACCAATTCCAGCCAGCTCGTTGCAGGTCTTCCTCTCTTCCTTGGTGACTATATGGACAAATATTCTCCAATTTGATCTGTTAGTGACCATCACTCACATCTAGTGACCTTCTGGTAGCTTTCTTGACACCTACTAGCTAGCTGATTGCAGGTCTTCCTCTCTTCCTTCTTCCCTCAATGTGCCCTAACATCAACATCTTTTCTAATCCATATTTTCTTATTATATGTCTGAATTCGGCCAGTCCATGTTTGCATTATTGGAATTTAGGAATCTAACAGAATTAATTTTATCTAAGATTGAAATATTCTATATTTTTTATTATTTCTACATGGCACTTTTTTATTATTTCTACATGGTGTGTGTAGATTTCTCCATATCCACATTTCAAAGGTTCCAATTATATATCTTTCTTCTGAGAATTCATCACTCCTATTCATAATAGAACAGAGAATAGCAATTCCTCAAAATTGCAATTATATATAGAGGGTATCGTTTTGTAAATAGAGGAATCCATGAATAAATCTTTAATTAAAAAGGCATATATGATATTTTAATCCAACCTACGACTTTTTAATTAAATATAGAGGGTATATGTATATATAATCAAAATATTGCGTATATAAAGTTTATTGTTATAATATTATAGTTTTCATTTTTACCCGAATCCAATCACAAGAATTGAACATGAGTTATTGTCTGAATCCAGAAATACTTGTTAAAAGGTACAATTTCCTTAAGTTTTGTTGATAAGTGAATATTGGTTATCTCGTATGTCTTCAATAAAGGGCACTGTAATATCTTTCAGAGTTATTGTTTGAATCCCGATATACATGTTCAGAGGTATATGTATATTTGCGTATATATAAAAACAAACCTTTGAATTTTTATTTTCAAATTTAATTCCAAATAATACCAAAACGATGATTTATCATAATATATGTTGATACCAAAAGAAATACCCCTTCCGATAAAAATTCATTATAACATTGTATTTTGGTCTATCACATTTGGTACATATATACAACCCACCTACAAACTCAATTCTGCGTTATATACTATATTATAAAATACAATATAACGCGGCTGATGATTGTAAAACGAAAATTGCAATTATACCGCGAATGTTTCTTTTAAACAAAAATCGAAATCTATTTTAAAGAGAAATAACGATTATTTCTAACTTTAAGGATGAAGTATGATAGGATGAATTGTGAAGAGTAATGACAAACGGAAAAATAAAAGTGTCCAGGGGCGGGAATCGAACCCACAACCTTCTGCTTACCGGGCAGGTGCCATGTCCACTAGGCTACCCTGGGCGTATTTTTCCGTTCGTAAATAATATTTAAAGTAACTTATAATACATTTTAAATGTATTATAAGTTACTTTAAATATTATTTAATACATTTTAAATGTATTATAAGTTACTTTAAATATTATTTACGAACGGAAAAATACGTCCAGGGTAGCCTAGTGGACATGGCACCTGCCCGGTAAGCAGAAGGTTGTGGGTTCGATTCCCGCCCCTGGACACTTTTATTTTTCCGTTTGTCATTACTCTTCACAATTCATCCTATCATACTTCATCCTTAAAGTTAGAAATAATCGTTATTTCTCTTTAAAATAGATTTCGATTTTTGTTTAAAAGAAATATTCGCGGTATAATTGCAATTTTCGTTGCACATACTATATTATGTTGTTAAAATATATTATGCAGATATATATAGTAAAATAAGGGTATATGTTGAATCAAATATATTTATTAAAATTCGATATTTCTCTTCTTCTAAGAAAAATTCTCTCTCTAGTCGAGATATCGAATTTAAAAATATATATATTTGATCCAAAATATGCCCTTAATTAGGCAAATGAATTTCTCGATATTCAACAAATATATATATAAGTAGAATTAAATATAATTTATAAGAAAGATAGTTGTATTAGAGAATGAGTATTGATAATTAAAAACAAATTATAAAAATATTACTTTTAAGGTATTAAAAAGGTTTTGTATTTTAAAGTAACAACATAGGGTTATAACAAGTTCACGCTGTAGCCTCGGCAGTTACGCGTCATTTAAGCCGAACATAGAAAAAAAAGGAACAATTGAAGGTGTTAGGATAAGGAAAAGAGCAAAGACAGAACCATGTTATCTTATTTATATATATATAAAAGAGATTTTCTGTTGATTTAGGATTATCTTGAGAATTATGCTATGGAGTTATTTGTTGGTTCTTTTTAGTGGTAAATGGTATTGGTGATGCAGTCGTGGAAAAATCTTGAAACTATAATAATAAAATTAAGGAAGATTGAAATAGCTTTAATTGAGCTTATGGGATATAGTAAAAATAATTTTATAAAAGTACTGCCTTGCTTGAGGCATAAGAATAAAAAATGGAAAACTTATTTACATAATGTACAAAAGATTTGAGCCGGCCATCGGGGAACAAAAACAATGAGTTTTATAGGGTAAGCGTGACCTCTGGCGGTCAATCCACCAGAGTATTTGTATCTATGAAATATATTTTTTAATGATATAATATTTTAATATAACCTATATATATTAAACACAAATGGGCATACCTGTTTTTACTAACAACACCTGATTTTTTTTTCTATTGTTATTTCATATATATATGTATATATATATATATATATTGAAATCATAGGAAACACATTCATTGATATATACAGTATATGGCGATGTGGAGTGACAGATATTTTCAACAATATAAAATACAATTCAATGAAGGTATTGTTAATGCATTTTTTTAATATTCGGGGCAAGAAAAGACCAAATAAATGACTCTTCCAGCCTGGATGTTATCAGGTTCCACCTATTTGAAACCCAATAAGTGGAGGCTTTGTGTGTAAAAACCTCAATCTTATCAAGAAAAAATCTTCTATTTCCTTTTATAGATTCTTGGAGATTTTAGATAGGGCACATCTTTTATATCCCACATTTTCAAATATGAATAGTTGATATTGTCATATAGTATTTATATGAATAGTTTATCTATAGAATATTTCACAACTGTAAAACAATGTTTTTTCTTATATTATAAAAGACAAGATAGCAAATTTACCAATATTGACAACTCTTCTACGGTTTTATTATTAAAATAAAAACTAGACAACAAAGGTATTTTTTATATAGTTATATATATATGAAAAAAACAATAGAAAAAAATAAGGAGCACATGTGCTTTACAGAAGGCAGAGCGCCTTCTGGTGGAACAGAAATCAACTAAACATTAAAATTGTTTAATATCAAAAAGAATCTTACGCCTTTAAAATAGTTTCGAATTTTGATAACAGATGGCGCGCTAGTGCATCATATTAATTCAACCTGTTCCTTGATATCTGGCTAACCCAATTCTTTGATAAATCAAGAAAAAACATCCACGAACGAGTTTCGCTCTGTTGGCGCTCGTCAGCGTGGAGCAGGCTGTACCACTGCGACCAAAAATATTTTTGGTCTCAGAGGCTTCTTGAGAAACCAAGAAATGGGTATTTAAGGCCAAATTTGCGTAAATACGCTTAACACATGAAACCCCAAAATAAAAAAAAATGTCAGGTGTTGATGTTGAAGATAAAGAAAGCATATCCTGACCACGAGCACGTTCATTTTAGATAGCAGAGCGCCATCTAGTGGAGCAGAAATCAACTAAACATTGTTTAATCCTGTTCCCTGATATTTTTACAACCCATTTTCTTGATAAATCAAGAAAAGCTATCTACGAATGCGTTTTTAATAACAACACCTGACCATTAAATATTTTCTATTATATTTTTCCTCAAACATATATATATATAGTTGCTAGGTTAACCTTTTTGACGATATCCAACCTGTTACCAATCTCTTCCCACCCCGGTTGAACCATTATGTTAATTTGATTATATATATGGAAATACTGCGCCATATGTAGACGAAAATTGAAAATATTTTGCGCAAAATTTTATTATCACAAATATATTCTCCCCACTTTTCTTTTTTTTTAATACACGATGTATATTATCATATATTATATTGAATATATAATCATATAAACTGTCTTTTTTGTTAAAAAATGAAAATTCGAGAAAATTATCTTTAATTTGCATATCATTCTATATATTTACAAAGTGAACATATTTACTTACTTCTAAAAATCTTAATATATATTATGCATCTATATATATATATATATATATATATATATATATATATATATATATATCGTATCCGTCGTGGTCGAATGGAAGGGCGCAAGCGTTGTGCATGTATACTTCCAAAAAGATATTGTTCCACACTCGTGAGCGCGCGCGCACGCGGCGGTGGACGTAGCATTCGCCCGCGCGCGCTTTCTCCTAGGTTTATTTTGTACATATTTATAGATGAATTAATTTGTATTTACATTTTAAAATTCTAATTATGGCGAAAATAAATTATAAATATTGGGCATTAGGCAAATTATGACATATATATATCATAATGTATTCATCTATATCATTTTTGTGAATTTTTACGATAGGATATGTAAATAGAAATGCATATGTATATAAACCAAAATGTAACTATATATTAATGTCTTCAATAATTCCATACCGTCTTTGATGGAATAAGATACCATTATTATAGAAATAGAAGGTTGCTTAGAGAAAGGTAAAAATAAAAATAGTACTAGGAAAGGAGGCAATGATGAAATTAGACAAGATTATGAAAGATAAAGGAATTTCTTTAAAGACGAAGAAGAGAGAATTATAAAGTGCATTGGTATTCCCTATGGCTACTTATGGATGTAAGAGATGAACTCTCAGTATAAAAGAAAATAAAAGAATCGTAAGTAAAGTAAAATAATTGTTTACAATAATTATTCACCATTAAAATAAATGGGAATTTAAATCGATATTTATTTACCAAACATAATAAAATTCTAAATATTGAACTTACAACATTTATTCACAGGCGATCGATAAGTAAAGCTAAGAGAGAAAGGAAAAAACAGACGAACTGGCTCTGAATGAAAAACCATGAGCCCTTAATGAATAGAACAGAATCCTGCATTCGTCTGCAAAAGAATCCCTATTTTCCCTGAATTTAATGTTTACCTAATGAGCGCCCCAATTTCTTCTTCCCTTTTAATCAATGAAATTCGTTTTTCTCTTAGAAGTCGTGGTCAAAAATCTTTAAAATTGTATCCGTGAATAAATTTTAGAAAAAATGAATTTAAGCGCGATATTTTAATATTTTTCTATCTTATAAAAATAGTTTTGTTATAGTATTTCTTTGTTTGAATAAATAATCATTGATTAACATAGTGTTTTTAATATATAAGAAATAATTCTCCAATTAAAACTATATTAAACCTAATCTTCATTTCTCGAATTGATCAACTTCTATTATTCGCTTCGTTTAAACTCGTTAAGCCTTGTCAATTTCAAGCATCGTTTGCTTTCATTACGCATATATTAAAATATTCGTTTGATTAACATTAAACTCCATTTTTATCTTTTGTAAATTATTTAAATAATCAGAATCGAATATTTTTAACGCTAACTTACTATTATTTATTCTATTTAAATAGTGTATTAGTTATTTATATTAAAAAATAAAAACAGATTCAAATATTTACTTTTAGCAGTTATATAATTAGTCTGATATTTAAAAAAATATTTGAGTATTCACTATAAAGAAAATATTTAGAATATTTCATACCTTTTTTATCAATATACGTATAAAATACTATTTATTCGCAAAATCAATTTAAAGATATTTATGTTTTTGTAATAAATATAATGAATTAAAATTCCTTTACGAAGATATGCAAATAGAAAACTTCTCGAAATGATTTTTCAAAATAAATATAATAACTTTCTATTTTTATTACTGAAATTGAATTTTTTTCTTAAATTATACAAGAAACTATCAATTATAGAATTGATGTTTTTCATGTCTACGGAGGCATATGAGGTTTTTCATTAGACACAACAACAACAGAAAATTGACATGGACCCAGAACTTTACACACACAAAATAGAGAACATTGCGACTGCTGTGATAGAGATGTACGTGGTCATCTGAGGCTCTTCATTAGATATGACAACAACAACAGAAAATTGACATGGACCCAGAACTTTACACACCCAAGATAGAGGACATTGTGACTGCTGTGATAGAGATGTATGGAGACATTTGATGCTCTTCATTGGATATGACAACAACAACAGAAAATTGACATGGACCCAGAACTTTACACACCCAAGATAGAGGACATTGCTGTGATAGAGATGTACGGAGACATCTGAGGCTCTTCATTGGATATGACAACAACAACAG